CAAGTCTCAACTCAACACATAGATCCGCTTTAGGCTTCTCTTTTTATAACTTACATAAATCGCATAGTGTAAAGAGTAAATTACATCTTATCCCTACTTTTTTTCTAATTACAGTAATCCCTTAAAATTTGTACCTTCCGGATACATAAGTCACCATCCAAATACATAAATTCTAATACAAGAAAAATCTGCTAAAATGGGAATAAAATTTGAAAATTAATTAATTCCCATAAATTACGCTTATGTTTCTTCTTACTCTCAATCATACAAAGGCAAATCCTAATAGTATGAAGAAATTCAAAATTTCAAATTGCTCTCCCCGTTCAACGAAGAAACCTTTTAGATTTGATTCAAAAACTTTTGTCGCAAATTTGGGTAAGCGAGGTGAGTTATGAAGGATACAAAATTGATGGAATTGTTGTTGGACGATATCCTTTTGAATCTTCAATTTCATCGAAGATCCTTTCAATTTTGATTCAAGATTATCAAAAATTTTGAGATTCAAGATTCTTTGAATCTTCTAGTTCAGCGAAGATCCTTTCAATTTTGATTCAAAATTATTGAAAAATTTTGAGATTCAAGATTCTTTGAATCTTCTAGTTCAGCGAAGATCCTTTCAAATTTTGATTCAAGATTATCAAAAACTTTGAGATTCAAGATTCTTTGAATCTTCTAGTTCAGCGAAGATCCTTTCAATTTTGATTCAAAATTGTCGAAAAAAATTGAGAAGATACATCATGAATATCTTTGCTACTTAGCGTTTTACATTTATGTATCTTGTTTAAATTGATAAGTGTTGTATTTATACTAGATACATTAAATAATAATTGTTGCACATAAGATGTTAGATTTGAGATCGATATATTACTGTGTGGTAGTTGTTATGTAATTGATACATTTCGTATAAATTCGAATTGACATACCATATCTAAAAAATTAGTGCATGATACATTACTATTTATGTATCTCGTTTAAATTGATAAGTATTGTATTGTTTGCCTTGAAAAGATATGTATAACTTACATAATGTATCATTTTGTAGTTGATAATAATGCATCTGATACAATAAGGTTGTCAAAGAAGGATGTACGTAAGATGAAATAAAGTGTATCTATAAATTTATCACAATAAATAAGAATTAAGTTATCAATTAGATACATGAAAAATCACAATTCATTAAAGAAATTTGATTATGAAAAGTACCAGAAAAAGAGGAAAATATTGGACTGTATGAAAACTTGGTGAAATTGAAACTAATATTATTATGAGACAATGGAAAGATTAAATAATAATACAGGAATCCTAATAAGTTTCAATGAATGATTAGTTGTTAGAGTCCATAACCAGCTCAAATGAAGGAAAATTTATAAATATTATATTAATTATTGCCTAATAATAACTACTACTATTACTTCTTTTTTTTTTAATACGTTTTAGTGTTGAAAATTTGAAGTTCACTTATTTTATGTTATTATAAATTTTTGAGTATTTTTAAAAATAGTTAAAAGACTCATAAATATCCTTTTAAAACTTTTTTTTGTCTAAAAATATCCTTAACCTACCGAAAATAACTATTAAAATTTTGTGACTAAAAATAAAGAGAGATTTGTGGAGTGAAATAAGGAAGGGATAAATGTTGATTTTGGGAGTTAGGATTTATGTATCCAACATTTGAGGGTTTGAGAGTAAAATAAGAAATTTTGGAAAATTTTAGAACAGGCAGGGAATAATGGAAATTATGAAAAAAAAAATGTGTGTATATAGGTAATTTATCCTTTTTTTTCTCTCTCTCTCTCTTTCAATTCCATCCCGTTTGGCAACAAACTTTACAATAGGCCTACTTACTTATTTGCTTGTTGAGCATGATCTCTCAATCTCTCTACATTAAGTTGATTCTAAAAAAATTCCAAGAAACAAAGAAAAAAAGAAGAATTATTAAAATACATGTAAATCCAAAAAAGAAAGAAAGGCAATATCTACCTTTTTAATCATGGTTAATACACTTTTCAAAGCTACATAAATATAAACTTTTGTTATTTAAATGAGATAAATATCATATATCTACATAAGTCCCTTGAGCAGAAGGTGCTTGCGGTGAGGATGGTTGCCACGACAAAACAAGAGAGTGGGACTTTTGAGACGATCGAGCAAGTTGAGTAGAATGTATTGAATGCTGAGAAAAGTCAGCTTTACATTTAAAATTACAAGTTTCACACTGTACTTAATAAAATCTTGAAAAAAATCACTATACAAATGTGCCAACTGCCAACGTTCTAAACCTAGAAAATTTATGAAGAAAATATCTAAAACAAAGACGGATACAAGGGTGGGTGTGATGTAATTAAGTAGATTAAGAATCACTAGGTATCAAATATAATATTACTTGGTGACTTATTGTCCTACGCTTAGTGAACAATAGTTATCTAATACATATTTCTAGTAAAGAGTGACAAATATCTCGTATATTTAGTCAAGGAGCGTTTAAATTGTCCCGAAAAAGAAAATTAAAAGGGAGTAATAATACTTTCTGATTTGATTCAATTGGACATGTATCAGCCGAAGCATCAACGGGACAGATGCATGAACTAAGACATTTTTTGTTAAGAAATAAGTCGAACACAGAGATATTTTGGATAAAAATGTTGACTCAACATGTCTAATTACCCAAACGAAATGGGATTAGCAAGAGATGTTAGTTGTTGATGCATTATTCTATTTTGCCGTCAAGTCTAATCAATAATGTCTCATCAATCTAGTGATCGATATCAATATTATAGAACCTGATTAGAAACTCATGAGAGGTTATTGTAATATAAAAGTAAATCAACCATTTATAATGTAGGGATTCAATCATCATTGGAAACGATTTTTCTCCATACATCAAATCATAAAGTTGTTGGGCCATGAGTATTAATCAAGTCTCAAAGAAAGAAAATAAGGTAATATCCTCATTTCACTTTTTTATATGTAAGAGTATCTCTTTATATATATTATAAAATTCAAAAAGCATTTTAATCATTATACATACTATTAATTTAAAATTGGATCAATTGAAACATATGAGTTGAAATGAAAGGGAGTTAATTAAGAAAAAAAATTAATTGAATTGAGGGTGACATTTGAGAAAGTAAAATTGAGTCCTCTTGTTGGGGGACTGTAGAATTTAAAGATATGGTTATCTAAAAAGGTGAATTGGGTCCCTGGAAAGCGTCCAACATAGTTTAGTAGGCCCCACTATTCTGCTTTGCCGACGTGCTGTCTGTAGTTTCATAAATTCTCTACGTATTATTCTACGCCATTTTAGTGGTTGTTTGGTTTAATGCAGTAGTCCTTCTGTCCCGAATTATTTGTTAATTTTTTTACTTATAAATTAAGAAAAGATAATTTTTTAAAATTTATTATACTTTTAATTAATTATTTTTAAAAAAAATATTCACTTCATAATTAATAGAGATAAAATAATAAATTTACTGTATCAATCATTATTTACAAGTAATTAGGGATCAAACGAGTATAGTCGTAAAGAGCTTCGAAGAATATTAAGAAAAAACAGAATTTGAAAGGTCACACAAGGATTTGGTTGTTGGAGTCCAGTGTGAACAAAATGAAATGGTTAAATTACAAAAATCAGAAAAGGACCTGGTACATCAGATCATCTCGGGTCAAGTGTAGTAATTTTTATTTTTATTTTTAAATTTTGTGATCTTTAATTTTGTTCTCCTTCAACAACTTAAATAATAAAAATAAGATATTAAAAATAAAATAACCAGACAAACAAATTTCATAAGACAAAAAAAATTGCAAGGTAAATAAAATTCACTAGACATATATAAGGTCATACACTGAACTTATGTCCCAATATGGAGAAGTTATGCCTTATAAGATAAGTTTAAGTTTAGAATTTTATACCTTGAAAAAATTATATTAATGAATTTAATCCCGACTCACAAATTATATTTTTCAAAGCATAAGTTCGACTTTAGAACTTTATATTTAATCAAGAAGTTCATACTATTAAATTTATGTCATAAGACACAAGTTATGCCTATTGAATATATGCATCACGCAAATTTTCTAATTACTTGTCCATTTTTGAATTGATACACCTATTAAGAAAACAATTATTGACATAGTGAGTTTATCATTTTACCCCTATTAATTATGAAATGGGTGAATTAAAAATTTAAAATTTTCAAAAAGTTCTACCTTTTTCAAAGTAATTAATTAAGGGTATAATAGGTAAAAATTTTTGTCCTTTCTTGATTTGTCAAAATGGACAAGTAATTATGGACAACTATAAAAGAAAAAGTGGACAAGTAATTAGGGACACAGGAAGTATTATTGTATTTTGCTCTCATTTTATAACACGTTATCAGCACGAGTCTCTAGCCAACTGAGACCTACTTAATTCAAAGTTAATTCTTAAAAGTTAATCAACTTGCTTTTAGAATAAGGTATACATTTATTTGTTTATAACATCTCTAATAGGACTTGCATAAATCTTTGATCTGTAATTTAATTACTACATAACTTGCTTTAGGTATTATTATGATACTTTACTAGGCATAATAATCAATACGTTTCAGGTTTATATTTTTATGTTGTTTATATGCTACTAACTTATAACTCTAAATTAAATACTAGGGAATATGATAACATGCTAGTTAGAAGAATTGTAAGTATTTTCTTGTCATAAATTTATTATAAATATTTGTGTGTCATAAAGAGAGTAGTATTATATTAAATATGACTTGAAAATCTTACAAAAGTTTGACGTTAATAACTATTGAAGCTACTAATAAATATTGAAAAATAATTAGAACATATATTAAATCTACCGTTTCTTACTTTATGAGTTTACATGTTTTTGTAACATTCCATGTTCATGCATCTAATATACTTTATACTAATTCTTAATCATTTGAATCATAAATTTATCTTTTATTATAAAGAAATCAACATCATGTCATTAACTCAACTATTTTATGATACTTTTCATCATGTCAAATTTGTCAAAGCTTGAATTTGTGGCACTTGACATTTCTAGAAAGAACTATTTGTCATGGGTACTTGATGCTGAAATTCACCTTACCACTAAGGGTCTTGGTGATTGTATAATCGAAGGAAATAAAGAATCAAGTCAAGATAAAGCAAAGGCAATGATTTTCCTTCGTCATCATCTTGATGAAAGCCTGAAGGTTGAATACCTAACAGTGAAAGATTCACTTGAATTGTGGATAGGTTTGAAAGGGAGGTATGACCACCTCAAGGCAATGGTATTGCCAAGGGCTCGTTATGAGTGGATGCACTTACGATTTCAAGATTATAAAATCGTAATTGAGTATAACTTTGTTGTATTTAGAATCACTTCCCAATTAAAATTATGAGGAAAAGTTATAAAAGATGAGGACATGTTGAAAAAGACACTAACTATTTTTCATGCCTCCAATATGATATTACAACAGTAATACCGTGAAAAGAATTTTAAAAAATACTCTGAATTAATCTCATGCCTTCTGGTGGCTGAGCAGCATAATGACCTTTTAATGAAAAATCATGAAGCCCGTCCAGTTGGAAGTGCTCCATTACCGGAGGAACAAGGGGTAGAAGCACACAGCCAGTATGAAATAAGACAAAATAATCGGGGCCATGATAATGTGCGCGGGCGTGGCAAAGGCAAAAGACGATATAATAATCGTCGAGGCGGCGGTTATAACAAAAGAGAAAATAATATGGATTCTCAAAATACTCCTTTAAAAGGCAAGAGTGATCACTGTCATCGTTGTGGCCTTAAAGGTCACTGAAAAAATGAATGTCAGGCACTTGAGGATTTTGCTAGGCTGTATCAAAATTCCTTTAAAAGAAAAAGAAATAAAGGCGGCGCCTCCTCTTCTAATGCCCGAGTAGAGTCACATTTGACTCTCAAAAGATAATGCTCAGGCAGGGTCTTCTCAAAAAATATGATGAGAATGTTGAGGCGAATTTAGCATTGAAAGATGATGCTTTTGATGGGCTCAGTGATATTACTCATCTAGAAAGCTGAGGACTTCTTTGAGGATCGCAATTGAAGATTGATAATTGAACTGGGTAAATGAATTAATGTTTGTTAAGTTGTTTTTAATGTCTTACTTAAAGTTCATGTACTTAAATTTTATTTTGTTAAGTTTCGTACTTCTTATTATTGTGTATTTTTATTTTTATGAAGATAAATAAAAAATTTCAGTCTTCAGTTGTATCCAAGATGAGTAATGGAGATATGTGTCTTCTGGACAGTGCCACAACTTATATGTTACTTAGAGAAATAAAATATTTCTCTAATTTGGTAATGAAAAAGGCATATGTTAATATAATATCCGGTAGTATAAAATTGATTGAGGGCTCTGGAAGAGCGGCCTTATTACTACCTGGAGGAACATTATTGGTAATTGATAATGCATTGTATTGTAGTGAGTCTAAAAAAAACTTGTTAAGTTTCAAGGTTATTCGCCAAAATGGCTATCATGTTGAGACTGCGAATGAAAGAAAGGTTGAATACCTTTATATTACTACAATAAATGCAGAGAAGAAAATTGTGCTTGAAAAATTATCTGCACTTTCTTCTGGATTGTACCATATAAATATTGGTATGGTTGAATCACATGTCGTAGTAAACAAAAGGTTTACTGGTTCTAATGATTTTATAATTTGACATGATCGGTTGGATCATCCCAGTTATAATATGTGCGTAAAATAATTGAGAATTCACATGGGCATACTTTGAAGAACCAAAATGTTCTTCAATCAAAGCAATTCTCTTGTGCTGTTTGTTCTCAAGGAAAGTTGGTTATCAAACCATCATTGGCTAAGGTTGGGGTGAAATCCCCTGCATTTCTGAAAGGGATACAAAGTGATATATGTGGTCATATTCACTCTGCATGTGGACCATTTCAATATTATATGGTCTTGATAAATGCATCTACAAGATGGTCACACATGTGCTTATTGTCAACTCGCAATATGGCTTTTGCGAGGTTATTGGCTCAAATAATAAGGTTAAAAGCACAATTTCCATACTATGCAATAAAAACAATTCGTCTTGATAATGCTGATGAATTTACATCTGAGGCATTTAATGATTATTATTTGTTCGCTGAAATTACATTTAAACATCATGTTGGACATGTTCATACTCAAAATGGTTTAGCAGAGTTATTGATTAAACATCTTCAATTGATAGCTAGACCATTGTTGATGAGGACAAAGTTGTTTGTTACGGTTTGGGGGCATGCTATTTTGCATGCAGCGGTACCTGTGCGCATAAGGCCAATCAGTTATCATGACATCTCCCCATTGCAATTGATTTTTGGTCAAGAGCCAAACATTTCCCATCTTAAAATCTTTGATTTTGCGGTATATGTTTCAATTGCTCCATTACAACGCATAAAGATGGGTTCCCAAAGAAGTTTGGGGATATACGTTGGGTATGAATCTCGTTCTATTATAAAATATTTGAAACCTAGAACTGGAGATTTATTTACTTTAAGGTTTGCTGATTGTCATTTTGATGAATCAGTATACCCAACATTAGGGGGAGAACAAAAACAGTTGGAAAATAAGATAAATTGGAATTCACTTTCATTGTCTCATTTAGATCCTCGAACAAATCAATGTGAGCAAGAAGTTCAAAAGATAATTTATTTGTAGAATATTGCAAATCAACTGCCGGATGCATTTACTAACCTTCCATGGGTTACTAAATCATATATCCCTGTTGCTAATACTCAAGTTCGAGTTGATGTCCCAATAGCACAAAATGTTAAGGCAAATGAGTCTGGACTACGCTTAAAACATGGTAGACCAATTGGTTCCAAGGATAAAAATCCTCAAAAAAATGAAAGGAATAAATTATCAAGATGATCATAATGTGGAGGCAATTGCTCATGAAGAGCTCCGAGACATAATAAATGATGAAACCATTGAGGAGGTCCATGTACCTGAAAATAATAAGAATGAGGAAATCCCTATAAACTATGTCTCGACAAGAAAAATGTGGAATCGAAATAATATTGTGGTGGATAATATTTTTGCCTATAATATTGTAGTTGAAATAATGCAACAAGATGATGATTTGGAACCAAGATCTGTCAATGAATGTAGACAGAGAGATGATTGGCCAAAATGGAAGGAAGCAATTCAAACAGAATTGACTTCACTTGAAAAACGTGAAGTTTTCGGACCAATAATTCGAACACTTTAAGGTGTCAAGCCAGTAGGGTACAAATGGATTTTTGTGCGAAAACGCAATGAAAATGGTAAAGTCGTAAGATATAAAGCACGACTTGTGGCACAAGAATTTTCGCAAAGGCTTGGCATTGATTATGAGGAGACATATTCTCCTGTGGTAGATGCAATTACCTTCAGGTATCTAATAAATATGACAGTTCATAAAAAAGCTTTAAATGCATCTAATGGACGTTGTCACAACCTATTTATATGGCTCACTAGATCACAATATTTTTATGAAAATCCCTGAAGCACTCAAAGTGCCTGAAGCATACAAAAATTCAAAAGAAAGTTGTTCAATAAAACTTCATAAATCCTTATATGGATTGAAACAATCAGGGTGAATGTGGTACAATCGTCTTAGCGAATACTTGCTAAATGAAGGGTATAAGAATGATCCTATTTGTCCTTGTATTTTTATACGAAGGTCAAAATCTGAATTTGTAATAATATTTGTCTATGTTGATGACTTGACCATCATTGGAACTCCTAAAGAGCTTTCAAAAGTCGTTGAGTGTTTGAAGAAAGAATTTGAAATGAAAGATCTTGGTAAGACAAAATTTTGTCTTGGCCTTCAGATTGAACATTTGAAAAATGGAATATTTATCCATCAATCAACATATACTGAAAAGGTTTTGAAGCGATTTTGCATGGATAAATCACACCCATTGAGTATCCCGATGATTGTGAGATCTCTTGACATAAATAAAGATCCATCCTAACCTCAAGAAAAGGATGAAGAGCTTCTCGGTGATGAAACTCCATATCTCAGTGCTATTGGGGCACTAATGTACCTTGCCAATATTATCCGATCATATATTTGTTTCGCAGTAAGTTTATTGGCGAGATTCAGCTCATGTCCAACAAGAAGACATTGAAAAGATATCTTCAATGAGCAATTGATATGGGATTGTTGTATTCTAATGCATCCAAGTTAGAATTGATCGGTTATGCATATGCTGGCTATTTGTCTGACCCACATAAAGCTTGATCTCAAACAGGTTATTTATTCACATATGGAGGTACAACTATATCATGGCGTTCGATGAAGCAAACAATAGTTGCTACTTCTTCAAATCATGCAGAGATAATAGCCATTCATGAAGCCAGTCGAGGTGTGTATGGTTGAGATCAATAACTCAACACATATTGCAATTATGCGGTCTTTCTGTGCAAACAAAGACTCCAACAATATTGTATGAAGATAATGTTGCTTGCATAGCTCAATTAAAATGATGATATATCAAAGGAGACCGAACAAATCATATTTCACCTAAGTTCTTTTTCACGCATGATCTTCAACAAAATGGTGAGATAAATGTTCAACAGATTCGTTGAGTGATAATCTTGCAGTATTTATTCAACTTAAAACATTGCCAACGTCAACATTTGAGAAGTTAAGATATAAGATTGGAATGCATCGTCTCCGAGATATAAAATAAAGTTTTCATCAGGGGGAGCAAAATATGCGCTGTACTCTTTTTCCCTTAACCAAGGTTTTGTCCCACTGAATTTTCCTGGTAAGATTTTTAATGAGGCAGCACTCAAGGCATATTACAAGATGTGTGTACTCTTTTTCTTGCACTAGGCTTTTTTCCACTGGATTTTTCCTAGTAAGGTTTTAACGAGGCACATTATCTATAAACATCCAAGGGGGAGTGTTACAAATCCATTTAATTATGGATGTTTCTTTTCATCAAACAGCCTAACGTAATGTATGCCTTAAAGATTACTAACGTATTTTAGTTTAAGGTTGTAAAACGATGATTTCTACATCCTACAAAAGGGTATTCTTTCACCCTTAAGAAAGACAACAAAAGGAGATAAAATAATACTATGTACTCTATACTTTTCATTAGCATTTATCTTCCATTTCTTGTTTAGTATTATTATATTTTGCTCTCATTTTACAACACTTTCCTTTTTTATTCCGATAGATATTCAAAATCGTACATTTTTGTTTCAACAAAGACAAGTGGGGCCTTAGTCACCGCCAATGTTAAGAAATATCTAATATTTTCTGCAAGGTTATTAGCTTCATTCATTTGGCGGTCAATCATTAGGAGTCCCAAAATATTACACTTTTTAGTTTGCCCAAATATCCTAAAAAGAGGAAATTCTTTCACAATTTACCCTTTAATCATTCGAATGACTTTACTACTATTTCTTTCAATTGATACGATTCGATCCGTCTAATAATAGTTGTTCACTATATTAAAAATAATTGTTTAATAATATTCGTTCAATTTAAAATATCAAGAGATAATTTATCTTTTGTGTTTATTTTATCATTGTTATTAAATATTATTTAATCACCTAACACATTTTTCAAAGTATTAAATTTAATAAAATCAAAGAATAATATAATAATAATACCCCTATTACTTAGGAGTGGACAACTATTGTTGGACAAAGAAAATATCACCTAAGAAGAATATTAATGGGAGTATTAAAGGTTTGCTATATCCCTTATGGGTTTTGTTTTTTAAATTGATATACTCATTGTTTCAATTTTCAAACATATTTATATTTATTATTAATT